AAGATATATAATACTTTAAAGTGTAGTCAAACATATTTTCTTTTTATATTTATATATTAATGAATATTTATTACTTACCATACAAAATATTTTTAATAAAAAAATATTTAAAATGGACTCACAACCTATATAAACACACTCCTAAAGAACATTGTTAATAAGCTAAAAACTCCATAAGAACATATTTCCTGAAAAGAATATATTTTCTGAAAACAATGAAGACAGCAAGAAAATATTCTCTAACAATAGCAATTTTGTTGGTATTTTTATCATTGCATCAGGTATAAAACTAATAAATACTTTGAAACTGTATTTTATATTATATATTCAATATTATTTTTATTTCTGTTGTTTGTGTATATAGATGTGGTTACAGGATCACAAGTAAGAGGAGTGAGTGAGGATATTCTTCAAGATTGTGTCAAAGATGCTGATTGTGTACGTAAACATTGGCCTTGCCCATCTGGCACTATTCCTGTATGCCTTCAACGTTCGTGTACATGTGTACACTAAATAAACTTCCAACAATTACATTACTAGTTTATAAACTAAATAATAAAATATTGTAAAATAATTGTCATGTTTGGACGAGAATTATAAATAAAATGGATTTAAACATATTAAAGGGTATAATATTAAAATAATATCAATATCTAGTATATCTACAAACCAATGATTGTATACATGTTTAATTTGGTCTCAGATTACGTTACCTTTAAATAAAATATAAAATAAAAATATGTAGTAGTTTAAGAATTGATGTATATGAATTAAATTTTGGATCGCGCGTATTTTAAATTAAATGTAGCAATCAGGTTTGGTCCAAGATACATTCAGGTTTTATGCAAATTCTAAATGAGATGTTTTTTTAAAAAATTAACAAACTATTAAATTTTATTCAAAATCTTTTATTGCAAAATTATTTATTAAAGTTTAGCTACTTATAAATAAAATGAAGGCATAATTAGACTCATGGTCCTTAGGGATGGTAATAGGTCCTTAGGGATGGCAATAGTCATGATATAGGTATGATATTTAATAGTATTTGTTTTTGTAATTGTAGTTGTAAAAAATTCCTCTACTCGAGACTAAATTTGTTTGAGTGATAATGTTAGCACTCATACATGTGCCTTATAGGTATATAAGTACACATAAAATTAATATATATTTATTTTAATATAGTGCAGGTATGGGTATTAAGGTTAGAGGTGACAAAATGAATTAGGCTCGTCGGATCAGCCTGTTTGACCTGCTATTTTGACGAATAGGACTGAGATTTTTGATCCGATACCTTAAGTTGGTTTTCTCTGTCTAACCCGTTTAAAAAAACAGGTCTATGCGGGACAGACGAATTTTGTTTGCGGGCTTTTTGTTAAAACTTTTAATTTTTTTAATTAGAATTAAAACAAGTTTAACTACAAAAACAACACTCTTCTCTTAGGATTATGTTGATTGAGTTGTATTCTAAATTATTATAGAGACAAATTGAATTATAAGTTCAACGTTCTTTCTATAACTTTATAATACATGTGTTTATTAGAAAAACTTGAAATAAAAGAACAATTGTATGACATGAAGAATTATTAAATTGTCAATACATTAGCTCACATGTTTTCTTTAGAAATAGATGCTGATTTTAAAAAATGAAGGATTTGATTATATATATATATATATATATATATATATATATATATATATATATATATATATATATATATATATATATATATATATATATATATATATATATATATATATATATATATATATATATATATATATATATATATATATATATATATATATATATATATATATATATATATATATATATATATATATATATATATATATATATAAGTCTATATGATGTAAATAGTGAGAAAATCATATGCTGATATTTTATCCACTATTATTTTATGTTATGTTTTATAAAGTGTAATTGTTATCATTGTTATTATTGTTTGTCTTGTGTAAAATCTTAATTTGGTTCTTTAGTAGTTAGTTTTTAAATAGGATTAGGATTATATGTATCGCTTATTTATTTATTTTGATATTTTTTATTGTAATTAAGTTTATTTCTTGATTTTTTTATTGTAATGATCTTTATTCATTTTATTTTTTGAACTATTTGTACTTAAGACATGTTGAAGTTTTATTATACGTTGTTAAAAAAAATCTTTTGTCGACCTCTTTTGTAATAATTAAATTTTTTATAAATTATGTAGTAAATTAAATTGTAAAATAAAAATAATAAAAAATTGACAGGGGTTTACCGTAAAATTTGGTAAATAACCGCCGATCTTTCAAATCGAAGAAAAGATTAGTGACTTGCAGGATCGACCAGATTGATCCTAAGGACGTGTGTTCTTATTCAAACTTTTGTTCTTGAAAACAAAGAATATTTTGGACATCATTCTTAATCTTTTAAACAATACTGATTTCAATTGTTACTTCGAATGTGATCATGTAATGCTTTAAAGAAAAGATGGGTATGTAAAAGGTTTTCGACTTAAACTTAAAAAGTGTATAAAACTTCAATTAAAGTTGAATGGTAATAAACGTAAAATTGGTGCATCATATGTACATTCTCATAACTCGTTTCTCGAACACTGGTACTTTGAGTAATTTAGAGTAATTTGTACAAAGATGTGAACACACTAATCCTATTGCTAAGACTCATATTTATATTAATTCGACTCCGACGGTCTATAACTAAAACAATGTCACGTTCATTATTGCATGTTCTTCGAATCTCTTCAGGCTTCCACGCGTCTCTTTGGATAAGATCAAACTTTCAAATTTGAATATCTTCTTGTCTTCGAAGTGCCAAATGATATAGACATGACGGTCGAAGTATCTATTATGATAATACTTCGAATAAACAAGTTCCAATGGTTCATAAAACAAACATGCTAAAACTTAGCGAAATGAAACTCTTATTAGCTTTTCCTTTATCAAAATATTCATAAGACCTCCTTCATACCTCCTTTCGAACCAAATTTCTTCCAGGATAGTCATTTCAGCTCAACATTCACATATTCAAAATTCTTAGTTAACAAAGTGCACCCCAAAAATGTGTATTTCGATATACTTGGAGAAATATCCATTTTTTTGCAAGACATCTGTATTTCGACGGATAATTATCTTTCATGATGAACAATAACTGTTATGACATCAGAAACAATCATGATTCCCTTTTTCAAAACCTATAATCAAGATGTGCGCGATGCAGTTTCATCATTGCTACTAAAAGTAGGTTCTCAATGTGGCTTTTCTACAAGCAACCTTCTACATTGACTTATCAAAAATCACCACGTGTTCCACTAACTCAAAAATTTAAATATAAACTGAACAAATTCCAGCTATAAATACCTTGCTTCTTCATCAAAAATATTTTTTTCCAAGTTCTTGACTTCTGAGTTTCAAACACTTACGCCATTCTCAGTTTTCGTTCTCAAAAACTCTTAATCATCCAACAATCTGAAGTTTCAACCATGGTACCAACCAAGAAAGGTAGCAAATCCAGGAAGAACGTGAAGAATAAGGAAGTGAAAAACCCCTATGATGGTGATAATGCATTTCAACCCATTCATCATATCTCAAAACCGCTTCTTATAGGAAATCAAGAAATTGTTCCAACTCCTCATGTTTCTGCAGAACAACAAGCTATCTATGCTTCCCAGGTAATAATCATTTTAACCCTTGTTGATAAAATCCTAGGGTATATGGGTCCTATGTTATCTTCTGGGTGTTTAGAAAAATTAGGGAAATTTTTCCAATTTATCATGATACCAAACCCATTGTTAATAAGGCTAAACCTCCTAAGAATAAGAACAGTAATCCTGATAAAAATTTAGAGGAATCGTCTGTAGAAAAGATTCATAGAGAAACTTCCTCAGTTCTTATAAAAATTGACCAAGTTATGATCATTTGAAGTCACACATGGAAAATTGGGGATTCATCTGGAGGGCTTATAATCTTTCTTCTTCATCAAGTTTCTTCCACATGAAAACTCCTTGTAACTTTTGAAGTGATTTGTTGATATCCCTTTGAAGAGAAGGATATGTTTAGAATCACTCAAAAATACTAAAATATGAGCAAGATATGCTTCTTTGAAGTTTAAAACCCTAACTTCTAGATCAAGAAAATACTTTGAGGAACTTTGACAATTTTGAACAAACTTCTTGTACCAAAACAAATGCTTTGTAAATATAAGTTGTTGAGGATGATAATGAGAACTCATAGCAACCACAACCACTTCCATATATTGATAATTGAGAGAAATGTGCACTTGTGACCAATGGGAACAAGACCTTGTCCAACCATGACTATTTTTCAATCAACCCCTTGTACTTTTTGGATCAAATCTTGATAACTTGGAAATGTAGTGAACCAAAATAATCTTGCCATGCCATCCCTTCCAAAACAACTTCAATGGTGAGGTTTGAACTTCTCAAGCTTCATTTACTAAGTCATGGAAATAAACTCATGAACCCATGAATCAAGTTGTTAAGCCCCATTGTCTTTACCTGCATTGTTGACAAGTAAGACAAACTAACATTGCATTTTATTAATTAAAAGGAAAGTCAAAACAAAAACATGAATGATTACACCAGAAAAACAAGTCAAGGTGCTTGGTGATTCCTCAAAGAGCAAAGCTAAAGATAGGAAGGAGAACCAAAATCCCTAATGTGATCTTGTTGTGATTGAATCAATACGGTATGGTAAAGGGATCTTAGGGGCAAAAATTGGGGTACAACAGTTGTAAAGTCTTACTACTAAATCATCATCAAAACCATTTTACATACAAAGTATCACGGAAAAAATACTTACTTGAAAAATATTGGATGAAGAACAACGGTGGTAGGTGAAGAACATGCAGCGGACGGTGCAGCGGCTTCAGTGGTTACAAAGAACGGCACGGTGTTGGCAGTAGGGAGAAGGAAGAGCGCGAAAATATAAATATGAATAATGGTCCTTGAGGCGCTATTTATAGAGCTGGCGTGGAATGCGAAACGTCATGTCGGGCAACTCACCAGCCGCCTTTCTCCTCGACACCTACGCTCTCAGTCAATGATGGGCCCTATTTTCTAGACCATCATTACTATCCCAAAGGTCATGCCACATGTACGATAAGATTATTGTCTCCTCCCCGTGGGTCGAGAAACAATTAGAAAGATTCCACCCGAATCCATTCCGAACGCTGATCTGTTAAAACCGCATATCGACGACCCTCTTCGTCAATTTAGTGAAAGTTCTGCGTCGAGCAGCTCACCTCGCGAAAGAAAAAACCGGACTTAAGTCATAGCTCCTTCATCAGGAGCAACGACTTGGGGGACTGATGTTCTGGACTGGGCTTGCCCTTGGCCCAACTCCATGTGAGGCCCAACCTAATTATATCGGCCAGGACATACTTGCCAGCTCTACCCTCGAGGAGGCAACTTCCACTCTCCCACGAGGAGGTCACCTCACCGCACGGGGATGAATCCACTTAGTCTGGGAGGTCACCA